TGTTTTAATAACTTGTCTTAAATGCATCCAAATTTCCCAGTTTCCGGGGTTTCTCCTTACAAACGCGTTCTTCGCCAGCACCCTTTACAAAATTTTTTGTGAGGCTCTCCCATCAGTTTGAAATCCAGAAAGGTCCCAGGCTTCCCACACGGCGTCTTTTTCCAACTGAATCTAAAGGGTGTGTTTAGAGACGCTACTCTGTGATCCCTCCTAAATCCTTTGATGAGGTATGAAAAATTCACACTCTTTTTATGAGTATTCCAACCTGTTGTTTTTTTTTTACAGATATGGGGAGCGCAAAGGGCAAACCCACCCGGGGGGTGTCGGCTGTATTAATAAACGGAACGCCCTCCTGTGAGGTTCACGTGGGGGCAACGTCCTCATACACCATGGTTGTGGGTTTGATCCCTGGTCTGGTCCGGGGGGGGGGGGGGGGGTGGGTCAAGGGGTTGGGGGGGGTAGCACATTACAAACCACCAAATGCTTGGTCTGAGATGGATTTTTTTTTTTTTTGTTACTCATTTGAGAATGTATTAACATTAAAAAAAAAGCACCCAAAAAGGTGTAACAATAAACTAATTGACTTTAAAAATAATGCATTTAGACAAAGTAGTAAATGGTTCAGGAAATCCAGAATTTCTAAATGCTTGCCTAAAATGCAGTCAGGGTGACCGATTCAGTCGGATTTTGAAAACCACATGCAGGTTGAGCCTCTTCCCCAACTGAAATGATCACCCCCATCTCTCCCCTGCACCCCAAGGATCCCAGAGCAGCTGGGCCAACCCCGAGGTGGGAAAGTCAACCCTGAGGACACACGGCAGGGAAGTCAGCCCTGAGCCTTGCCCAGCCCTGAGCCAGCAGCCCATCCCCTTGGTTTGCTGCTGCTGCTGCTGCTGCTGCTGCTGCTGCTGCTGCTTTTTGGCCAAGTTCCCTGCTCCCCACCCAGAACAGTGTAATCATTTGTATGCATATTCGTTTCCCAAACTCTTGACTCCGCTCCAGGATAAAATTATCCCTTGAACTCCAGTGGAACCACAACACAAGCTTGTTTCTTTTCTAAATCCCTGGAACATGTGGAGAGCAACGCTGCCATGAAGCAGCATTTGTTCTTAAAGGGCAATCACGGCCCAGCTGCAGGCGGCCCAGCAGCGGGCGCATCATCACGGCGATTGTCTGGATGGCAGCCGGGTGTGCGGAGAAAGGCACAGCCAGAGCGCGTGGGGATGCGGGTTAGAAAGCCCGACTCCAGCGGTGCGTGACCACAGACACACACACTCCCCGCACGGAAGGACTGGCTGCCCGGAGCTGAGTGCTGTAGAGACGCCTCTGAAATGTGTCAGAACCGTACATGGCTCAAGGGACACACCTAGTAGGTATGTTAATGATACATACAATCACAGACATCACTTGGCTGCACCCTTCAAATTCTATTAGAACCAGGCACGAGCTTGTCCCACTTTGGGGGACAGGATTTCAAAGTCCAAACAAATGAATTAGGCGAGGAAAGCCGTGTGCTTGCATTAGGAAAGGTGTCCCAATAAGAAGCTTTCAGTATTGAGGTTCCCCAGCCTCTTTAAACGTTAGACCACTTTGAGGCTGAAGAACTCAAAGTCGCAAGGGGGTGGGGAGCTCTTACGAAGTACAAGTTTTTATTGTATTTTGTCCCCTCCTGGCAAATCAAAATTATAATGTGAAGTATCAAGGAAATAGGCTAACACGAAGCCTGGTACACAGTTTATGGTCAATAAATACTTGGTGAATAAATAAATTGACATACATTTTAAGGACAGCATTTATTGGGTTAAGTGGGTACACCTGCACAGTACAAGGTTTTATTTACGTGTGTGTGTGTGTGTGTGTGTGTGTGTAGACTAGAAGCCCGTTGCATGAAGATTCGCGCAATAGGCCTTCCTTTCCCTGGCTGCCGGCACCAATTTTCCTCTGGCACCCGGGACCCAGGCCTTTGATCTGGCCGCAGCGGAGAAGCCAAGCCTCTTCAGTCTTCAGTCTTCAGTCTTTAGTCTTCAGTCTTCGCTCCACGCCTGCGTATGCAAATTAACCGCCATCTTTGTTGGGTTGATTTGCATAGTCGCTCTGATTGGCTGGTGGGTGCAGCAGAGTGACACCAATTTGCATGTTTCTCTTTTATTAGTGTAGATATATATATATTATTCTAATACTATAATGTTACATGTCAAATATCACAGTAAAAGATTTATATATGTATATATGTACACACACACACACACACACACACAAAAACACATATATATGGGGAGAGTTTCATACCTTTCCATAAATTTTTGAAAAATGTTGCCTCGAAGACTTTCACAGATTTCTTCTATGTATGGCTGAAAGGAAAGGAGAGAAATTCCGTTCGGGGCACGTGCGGGAGACAATCAGTCGATGTGTCTCTCTCACATCAATGTTTCTTTCTCTTCCCCTTCCTCCCTCCCTCCCTTCTACTCTCTCTAAAATCAATGGAGAAAACATCCTCGGGTGAGGATTAACAACAACACGAAAAAGTACATTTCAATGAGGAGACAAGCTGCTCCAGATAAGAATGGCCTGATATGTCAGGTCCTCCGCTAGCTACACACATGGGAAGAAAATGCCACCAAGTCCAACTGCTAAGCAAAGCAGATGCTCTCACTGTGAAACGCTTTCCCCTCACCTGGAAGAGCGCAGACGTCACTTGCTTCTTGG